GTCCCTCCCTCCCTCCCTCCCTCCCTCCCTCCCTCCCTCCCTCCCTTCCATTTCTCCCCCACCCACCCCCCCTCTTTCTTCTTCCTCCCTCTCTGCCTTGCTTCCTTACCTTGTCCTCTCCCGGACTTGCTACGAGGACCGACATGCTCTTCCTCTCGCGGTTGAACTCAAGAGTCGCCTGGAACAGTGTGAACACCCCGGCGAAAGATCGAGAATGAGCAGACAGTGAGGAGGAGGAGGAGAAAGAGGACGACTACGGGAACGAGAGACGGCGAAGGATGTAGACGAGGAAAGAAGAGCAGCAGCAGCAGCAGCAGCAGCAGCAGCAGCAGCAGCAAGAGGAGAGAGAAGACAGTGGGAGGAGGAGGTGGAGGAGGAGGAGGAGATAATTACCAGCTTGACATATTTGGAGCTCCAGTAGTCGTTGACTGGAGTGTCTCCTTGCATTCCCTGAGCTCCTTGGGCTCCGAGCTTCTCGGTGAGGACCTGAAGAGAATGAGAGGAGGAAGAGGAGGAGAAGAATGGATGGAGGGGAGGCAAAGGAGGGAGGGAGGGGAGGGAGGGAAGGGAAAGAAAGGGGAGAGGGGAGATGGAAGGGAGGATGGGGAGGGAGGGTGGAAAGGGGAAGGTTTGACTAGTTTCAACCTTCAGAGCCGCTTCAGTGCTCTCGCCGATTCTTTCCCAGGTGCCTACAAAATCATGATTGGCAGGGGCAGGAGCAGGAGCAGGAGCAGGAGCAGAGAGGAGGAGCAGGGGCAGGAACAGTAAAGAATGGAGAACGTGGATTTGAATGAGGAGCGCTGCAGGGGCTACCAGTTTGTGTCTTCACGATTCCTGCTTGGTTGCAAAGAGATGAAATCTTGCTGAGCTCGTTGAGGGAACTGGAGAAATTCCATCACTGCTCAAACTCCCCCTCCCCTTCCTTCTTCCTTTCTCCTCCTCCTCCTCCCTCAGCTTCTCTTCCTCATCATCCTCCTGCTTTCCTCCCTCGCCCCTCCTTCACTTCTCCACTCCATCACTCGCAGCATGCCTGTAGTCGTCGGCAGTGACAGATTTGTTCTTGAGCAGAACGCGACCAGTAGGAGCGTAGGTGATGCCCTCGACCTCCAGCTCCATGTAGCCTTCCTTCTCCATCACTAGCACTCGCTGCACAGACATCTGATTCGTCGTCAACGTCCCGGTCTTGTCTGAGCAGATGATGCTGCTTCCTTGTCAGTCCACGACCACCACTTCCTCCTCCTCAACATTCTCTTTTCCTCCTCCTCCTCATCATCATCATCATCATCATCATCATCATCATCATCATCATCATCATCATCATCATCATCATCATCATCATCATCATCATCCCCATCATCATCATCATCATTCTCTCCTTCTTCCTCTCTGCCCCCTTTGCCCTCCCCCTGCCCCCAGCTCCTCTTCCCCTTCCCCTTCGTCCAGCTCCTACTCGTGCTCCTCCTCTCGTCTCACCTGGTGCATCCGAGCGTCTCTACGGCAGGCAAATGACGCACAAGCGCGTTACGACGAGCCATCCGACCAGTACCGAGAGCCTGCCAGAGACCTCGTCACGAACCCTCCCTCGTCCTCCTCCTCCTCCTCCTCCTCCTCGTCCTCGTCCTCCTCGTCCTCGTCCCCCACCCTCGTCCTGTTCCTCTTGCTCGTCCTCGTCTTTCTCCTCTTGTTGCACTCTCCATCTCCTTCCTTGATCTCACCAGGCAGGTGGTAACAACTGCTGGAAGTCCTTCAGGGATTGCGGCAACAGCCAAAACCTTGGGAATTGTCAGACCTCCACCACCACCACCTCCTCCTCCTCCTCCTCCTCCTCCTCTTCCACCTCCTCCTCCTCCTCCTCCTCCTCCTCCTCCTCCACCACCACCACCACCACCACCACCTCCTCCTCCTCCTCCTCCTCCTCCCTCGTCCTCTTCCTCCCCCTCCTCCTCCTCCCTCCTTCCCTCCCACCCATTCCCCTTTTTCCTCCTCCCTCACCACGGCGATCTTGAAGAAGTGCATGGCTCCCTTCAGCCAGACTTTCCATGTCACTTCTCGCAGCCCCGTAAGCATTAGACCCTGAACAAGACTCAGAAGAAGGTAAGGGAGGGAAGGAGCGAGAGAGCGAGGGAGCGAGGGAGCGAGGGAGCGAGCGTGAGAGCAAGGGAGGGAGCAAGGGAGGGAGCGAGGGAGGGAGGCGGGCAGGTTAGCGGGGGGCAGATGGGCAAGAAGGCAGGCAGGCAGGCAGGACCTTAGCGCTAAACTGAGGAACGTTGACCAGCCAGCAGGCGAGACAGATCCACTTGATCACATCTGAAGAGCAGAAGCATATGATCAGAGCAGCAACCAACAATTGAGCTGGAGGAGTCGTTTTTGCAGTTGTTGTTGATAAGATAATGATGGTGATATGATGTTGTTGATGTTCTTAATATCAATAATGAATGTGTTGATATTGTTGATGATGATGACGATGATGATGTTCTTGGTAATGTTAATGGTATTGTGGTGGTGATAGAGATATCAAACCTGTTAGCAGCTCGCCGAACTGATCGAGCTTTTCCTTGAGGGGAGATTCCTGTAGCCAAAATCAACACGGAAGAAATTTTAGGATACAGGGGAGGAGGAGGAGGAGGAGGCTTAGTGGTTGTGAGAAGCAGGGGGACAGAGAAGGAGGGAGGAGGGAGATTGGGGGAGGGGAGGGGCGGGGGAGGAGGAGGTGGTGGTGATGATGGTGGAGGACGAGGACGAGGACGAGAAACGAAAACCTGATCTTCGGTCTCAGTGAGGGCTTGAGCAATCTTTCCGATCTCAGTCTGAGAACCTGTCTTGATGACAACACCTTGACACTGATGGAGCCAATCAGCTGAGCCTCGAGCTGGTACGCGGCAGAGAAGCGCAGGAGGAGCGAGATGGTGAGGAGGAGGAATAAGAGGGAGAGGGAGAAGGGAGAGGAACGAAGCGGCAAAGGAGCAGGCAAATGAGGAAGAGGAGGTTATGGAGGAGGTAGCTACCTTGCCGTAGACAAGATCAGTGGCAGCGAACATGATGTTCTCCTTCTGCGCGAGCTCGTCGTCGATGGCGGGGGAGAGAAAGGAAGGGTTCTTGTTCACACTAGCTGCCTCTCCGGTCAGCGCCGCCTGCTCCACCTTCAACGCCGTCGACTGCATCTCCACTACGCGCATGTCTGCTGGAACTTTGTCGCCAACTGCCACCTCCACCACATCCCCGGGCACGAGCTCAGCAGCGTCGATAATGCGCGTCTTCCCCTCACGCAGAACCTTCGCCTGCTGTCGCGTGACTCGAAGACAAGAGGGAGGGGAGAAGGTGGGAGAAGCAGGGGGGGGGCAGGAGGAGGGAGAGGAGAAGAAGACAAGAAGAGAGGAAGCGGCTCTGCCTGATCAGGGTTGTAGGATTGAAGTGCATCGATTGCTGCTTCGGCATTGCTTTCCTGCCGCAAGTGTAAGCGCCCTCCTTGCCCCCACTTCCTCCCCTTTCCTCCGTCTCCTCTTCTCTCTCCCTTCTGCTTCCCTCCTCTCCTCTCCTCTCCATCTCCTCCCATTCCCTCCCTCTCCTCCTCTCCTCTCGCTCTCTCCTCCTTTCCTCCCTCCTCTCCTGCCCTTGCCTCCCTCTTCTCCTCTTACCCCCCAACTCCCCCTCTTCACCCGTCCTCCCCTTCTTCTCGAGTCGAAGCCGCAAGCACAGGAGCATCACCTGCCAGACTCCGATGCAGGCGTTGAGGATGAGGATGGAGAGGATGACGGCAGGTTCTACGAACGGATGCTCGTCCGGTTGCGCATCTGGTGCCATGTCACGAGCCTGGCGAGAGAGAGGAGCAGATGGACAAGAGGGAGCAAGGCAAGAAAGAGAGAGCAAGAGGAAAAAGGAGGGAGAGGAAGACGGGAGGAGAAAGGTGGGGGTGGAGGAGGGAAAGAGCGAGCGAGCTAGCGAGGCAGGCAGGCAGGCAGGCAGGCAGGCAGGCAGGCAGGCAGGCAGGCAGGAGGCGAGCAAGAGAGGGAGAGGAGGGGAGAGAATCACCGAAGAAGGAGAAGAAGATGGAGATTCCAGCAGCCGCAAGGAGGATGTGGACCATCTAGTTCATCGCGGTCACCCCCAGGAGGCAAGTCAAGTCTGACTGACCTTGTCGTCAAACTGAGCGACGAATCTCTTCCAGAGGGGAAGCCTGCAAGCGGCGTGAGAGGAGCAGCATGGAGCTTGCCTTGCCTTTACCTCTCCTTGGACGGCATCTTGTTGAGACCGAAGATCTCTCTACGGCTCAAAACCTCCTGCTCTCTCCCGTCAATGCACCCTCGCCTCCTCCTCCTCCTCCTCCTCCTCCACCTCCCCCTCCATCCTCCTCGTTCTCCTTGTCCTCTTTCTCCTCACCTGCTCCGACAATCCAACCTTGGGGTCAACCGCACACATCTCAAGCACCTGCTCGGCGCTCAGTGTCTTCTTGTCTCCTTGTCTCCCTCACCTCCTGCACTGTCTTGGTGTGGGCAGTAGCCGCCATGTCCGGGTGAACCTGAGCGCCTCCTCGCAGCTGCGAGCCAGCTCCTCCCTGATGACTCGCCGTGACCAAGACAGCGCGGCAGCCACAAAGAGCGCGGGGAAGGTGTTGAGGAGAGTGAGCAAGGGGTCAATGAGGAGGAACAGGATCTGGAGGAAGAGGAGGAGAAGGAGGATGAGAAGGAGGATGAGAAGGAGAAGGAGGAGAAGGAGAAGGAGAAGGAGGAGGAGAAGGAGGAGGAGGAGGAGGAGGAGGAGGAGAAGGAGGATGAGAAGGAGGATAAGAAGGAGAAGGAGGAGAGAAGGAGAATGAGAAGGAGAAGGAGGAGGAGGAGGAGGAGGAGGAGGAGGAGGAGGAGGAGGCGTGTATGGCATGCGTTACTTACCAGGCTCCTGGTCAGGACCGTTTTGGGCATCAACATTGGGCGAAGAGGTTCTTTGAAAAGCGCCTGTGAGCAAGTCAACCCTCCTGCTTCCCTTCCTCGCTACAAACCTCGACGGCAGTGAAGCTCATCGCACAGCAAAGAGCGGCGAGCCTAGAGATCAAGAATGAGATCGACAAGGTGGAAGTGCAGGGAGTGCACAACGAGCGTCGGAGAACGAGGTAGAGACGAAAGATGGAGGAGCCGAGAGGGGAGGAAGTCAGGGATGAGGAGCAGGAGGAGCAGGAAGGGGAAGGGGATCGGATAAGGGGATCAAGATGTTCGTCACCATGTCAGACGCTTGCAGCGCCTGCAGCTTGGCAGCATGATGGCAGGGGCTCGTGCAGTACCCACGGTTGTAGACAAGATAACTCACGATATAAGAGACCCAAGAAGAAGAGATGCCTCCCTCCCCTACCAGAGACAAGTTCAAGATCCGTCAGTATCATCCATCTCGATTGCTTTCATGTCTTCCTCTACCACCCCTCTCCGCACAGCAACACCAATCACAAAATCAAGCTATCGCAACTTTCGTTGACCTGTTTTGACTGGTTTCCCTGCATCTCTTCTCTGTCCCGACCTGTGCTGGCAAACTCTCGATCCCATGTCTACCTCTATCTCCGAGTCTTCTTCCTCCTCATCCACGCTCCTCCTCTCCCTTCCTCCCCATGAGCTTTTCCGCATCTCTCGGCCCCTGTCGGCATAAGAGGACCGATGGATGGATGGGTGGGGACCCCCACCCATCTAAAAACCACCACCTACCCCACCCATGATAGCTATTCGTCATCATCGTATTCCATGGTACCCCCGCTACTATAATTCTTCCACCCCACCCGGCAATGTACACCTACCCTACCCCTTTGTGCACTACACCCTACCTACCACTTGGTCGTCCTTCACCTGATATTCGACCCCTGTGTCCCTGCAGCCAAGACTACCCCTACCCGTTAGTGTCATTGACTATCCCTACCCTCCGACCCGACCAAGGTGCCTTATAAAGACAGAGCACCACCCCTCCCTCCACTTTCTTATCACCCCCACCTACCAACCAAATGACTACATGAACATAAGTTTTGCCGGCTCCTGTCCGGTGAAGCCAATCATCGGAATGAGGGTGATGATGACAGACCCTCATCCCCCTCCTGCCCCGTTCCATTCCGTTCTCGTGACAGCTGTCTTCTCTTCCCTCTGAACAAAATTGAAAATATTTTATTCAAATTGAAATTCTAGAGAAATATTTGAAAGTGGGATCAAGGTTTGGGCCCGGGGATCCAATCAGACACGCGGTATGGCCGAGGATAAGGAGAAGGAGAAGAAGGAGGAGGGGGAGAAGGGCGCGGACAGCTCGGAGGACAAGAATGGAGGGGAGAAGGAGGATAAGAAAAAGAGGCAGACAAGAAGGAGGACAGAGCCGACAAGGATGGGGAGGAGGATCGCAAGGGAGAAGACAAGGACGCTCGACGGGACCGGGAGAGGGACCGGGACGAGGACCGAGATGGAGGCAGAAACGACGATTATGCGGATCGTGGGAGGAACGAGAGACGCGGTGATGATGACAACGGTGACTCCTGGCGTGGTGGTCGGGGCCGTGGGAGAGGAATGGGACCCAGGTATTAGAATGCGGCAGCCTTGTGGAGGTGTAGCTGCCCTGTGCAGGAGATTCTGATGGAGTTTGCAGGGGATACATGAGATCACGCCCAGGGGATCGCGGAGGATTTGTCGGGGGGAATCCTCGTATGAGGGACGAGATCATCGAGCCAGTAGACAGAGAGAAGACGTGCCCGATGCTGCTGCGACTCTTCTGCAAAGTTGGCGAGCACCACAGAGACGACGAGTTCTCTTACAAGCAACAGCCGACAGACGAGGAGGTTGATTGTTTGCGAATGCTTACATTGTGCCTCCTGCTTTTGCCGACCTCTTTCCGTGCAGGTGCGGGTTCATACCTGGCGTGATGCGACCATGGCCGAGCTGACCGAGCTCCTCGCTCAAGTTCACCGCGAAGTTCGTCAGAGCGGCACTAAGTGCACTTTTAAGGTGCCCTGCTGCTGCTACTCCTAACTATCCTCCGCTGACTCTCGTCAGGTCCTGTATCCGGACGCGAATGGAAAGTTCGTTTCGCACGTCATCGGCAGCACAGCCATTGGCCGTAGACTGCATGACGACGTCTCTCAGAAAACTCTCGCTCAGATCCGCTACCAGGTTGACCTCACTCTGCTGTCTGCATGCATCACAAAGATTGACAGGTGGGAGATTTTTTCTCTGTTGCGATCTATCCACCGAAAAGTGCCATGAGACCTACACAAGCGAATGCAGAAGAAAAGAAGGAGGAGGAGCAAGAGGCCGGGGAGACCCGCACTGAGAGAAGACGGGAAGGCCGAGAGCAAGAGGACGAGTGAAGGATAGAGAAACCCTTGAGATCTTGGCGACTTTCTTAGTCAAGATCTCGTGCAGAGGTCTCAAACAGGTTCCTTGGGACGTGGACCGGATTGGGTATCTTGGTTCACTCATTCGTGTTTGAAATACTTGGCCGTAAGAGGTTTGTCCAAGTAAATGGACGTTAAATATGCCACCGAGTAGAGGATGGCAAAGTAGACTAGAAACTCCTCCCACGACATCCAGTTGAGATGCCATCGATCCTCGTGCAGACCGTTGCGCAAGATCCACGTGAAGATGCGGCAGACGGGGCCTTGAAGGGTGAAGGCGCACAAAGAGATGCTTCCCAGCTCGCCCATGACCGATGTCTCCAATAGAGGCTTCAGCCCGACTGTCACCGAGCTGTCATGGAAGTAGGTGGATAGCCCGAGCAACACCAGCACTGCCCCGAACACAAGAGAGAACCCATGGAGTCTGAAAAGTTCACTTGCAGGGAAGACGAGAACAGCGACGATGATTGAAATGAAAAGAGCTTCTCCTGCGAGGTTGTACACGCTTGCGTACTCCCTGGTGGAGCTCAAATACGTCGCCTGCTTGTACAGTTCACATGCCGCACAACCAACAAAGAAGGAAGGCAGCATGAAGGGAGGCCAAACTTTCAAGAACGTCATCCATCGTTCTTGCGATCCAGCTGCAGCAACCGCTATCGCAGGAAGAATAGCAAGGATCCACAGGAAGAGCATCAGAGCAAGAGGTTTCATCACCCCATCCATGGCCTCGAGAACTTTCGAAAAGAATGGGTAAAGGAGCCAACAGAACGCCAGGGCCTGGATGTACCACAGGGGGCCATTCTCAGGGTAACAGGTGTGAGCGAAGAGGTACAGAGGTTGAGGGATCAGCTCCTTGTCGTCGTAGAAGGGGAGGATGACGCTGAACCAGACGTTGACCCCGAAGAGTGTTGGGATGAACTTCAGGTACTCATACATGATCGCTCCCGCCGTAGTGCCCATCGCACCTAGATTACAAACCCTGAGGAACAATGCAAGAACGCTGGAGAAGTAGTACATGAACATTAGCCCGCTCGCACGCTTCCTGAGGAACTCTATTGGACTTCCAACTTTCCGCGTCGACCAGACAAAGTGTGTGATAAAACCGCTGATGACTGTGAAGAGATCAAGGGGACGGCCCGAGCGCAACCGGAACTGCCATGAATCGCCGTGGGGGAGATGAAGATAGTGATAGACGATGATCCAAGATAACACAATGAAGCGAAACCCCTCGATGTGATTCATTCTCACCCTCCATGCTGGTTTGGATGACAACAAGGGGGTGGACGCCTCCATGCCCAACACTTGACTGTGCGCTACCTCGGACCGGGAGATACTGTAGAATCACGTCGAGAGTGTTGCTGTCGCTTACAGTTTCACGTGTGATCTGAGCCCGAAGCTTCCTCGGCGTCCGTCTTCCTCGAATTGCCGTCAGCTCGTGATCCTGTCGCTAGTGGAGCAGCAGGAGCAGCAGCAGCAGCAGCAGCAGGAGCAGGAGGATGAGGAGCAGGAGCAGGAGCAGGAGCAGCGTCAGAACGTCCAGCGCTCGCTTCGCCTTCGCTTCTTGACTTCCTCCTCACTCTTTTTCGGATTGACTACTGAATCCGTACAACCCCACCCCAATCACCTCTCTCCATTACACCCCACCCCTCTTTCTTCCTATTGACACCCCACCTTTGCTATCATGGCATCTTCAGTACAACCACCCCCACCCCTAAAACACTCTGTATATATATAAACTTCTTGTCTCTTCGTGTGCACCATGACAGTTTCGGGACCATGACCCCACCCCAGTCTGTCAACTTGTAGGTACCCCACCCCTTCCTGAAAACTGCTGCAGATTTGTACCCCTCATCATGTCATGACCCCACCCCGTCTAATCATTCTCGAATGACCCACCAAAGGTATTCCGGAAGAAATCAACGCCTTATCACCCCTCTCTTCTAGACCGTTTGACCCCTGTCTCCTATACTACCCACCTCAAAAGGTTCTTGATTGTCATCCTACCCCTAGTAAATAAGCACCCCTACCCTTACTTTGTTTCCTTTCAAACCATCGGGACCCCCTGACATTTGAACGAGGATCCAGTAACGGTCTCTTCACGATTTGTAACTGCGTGTGGCATTGGGTCACCGTGTCACACTAGTAAACGTACTGATTTTTAACTTAACTTTGAGTAAAGTACACTGGGCCCTTCGGAACCCTCCACTGAGCTCTTTACTCAACTTAAAGTTAATCTAAAAATCAGTACCGTAGGATCAGATCGGACAACGGGCACTCAGTTACTAGTGCTGGGCCGCGAGCTGAGTTAAACCGGGGGACCCCCCGGGCCCGGGGCCCGGCCGGACCGTCGGGATGCCATGCCAGGCTACTGGAGGCGGTACGGTCGGACTCCGGGATGTCCTGGACTTCCGACATAAGTCACATGATCCGAGGACATCGTACTAGGCTTTGCACTGTGGCAACCGCGCCTGAGTGCAGGATTATGCCGGCAGCTTGCGCTTTCGCCTGTGGCCCAGTGGCTGGCGGATCGCTCGGCGAACAAAGAAACGGCAGCGCTGGCTCGCCTCTCGGCCTCGCAAGACGTCTGGCAACTGAGTGATCCGACTTACAAACGCATCACTGAGTCAGGCCTCCCTGTCCTCCGCAGCCTAGTTAAGTTTGGGGGACAGCATTGCCGCGTGCGGCAGTTGGTAGGATTAGGTTTGGTTCTCGCTTTCTTTTCTCTTCTCGCCGTGTGGCCTGTGCGACAGTGTCAGGGTCAAGCCTCCTCGACTCTCCTGATTGTCCTCGTACTGATCTTAGTAACTTAAAGGATAAGGGTTGGCGGCCTGTCGGCCGCCCGGGGACTCGGCGTGACGAAGCTTGCACGCCGGGCGACTCCTAGTCCCTCATATCACTGTCACCTCATCGTCGCTGTCAGGATCTCGGCCAATATGCAGTACGAGTCATCATAGCAGAAGAAGAATCATCATCTTATTGAACAAAAGAATAAGAGTTAAAGTATCATCATCTTATTGAACAAAAGAATAAGAGTTAAAGTATCATCATCTTATTGAACAAAAGAATAAGAGTTAAAGTATCATCCAGAGTCACAAGTTCAGTTCCGTTAGCTTTTCTTGGCGGCCACCTCTTTCGTGTCAACCTCTGTGAACACTCCGCCGCAGGCCCCGTCCTTCTGCCCTGGTTGGCATGGCGGGCAATCTCCGTTCCCCACAGTCTTCTTGAAGAAACCGTGCTTGCACTTGGTGAAGCCGAGCTCCCATCCGAACCCCTTGCCCTCGCATCCGATGTCAGCGACGCAGAGCTTGATCTTGGTCGCCCCCTCCTCCTCCGTAGTGCTGCAGAAGGGGCAGAGCTTGCAAGGGTAGGGCCCATAGAGCGACTTGTAGCTTCCGACTGCACACTTCTTGAAGGGGCCCTGCGACCAGTCCTTCTCGTTGGTCCAACCAGGCAGCGCGATACAGTCTTCGTACTTGTGCTTGCCGGGCGACAGGGTCGTGCCGCCAGGAGGGCAGGGTATGCACTTCACCATACCCATCTTGTCCGACCAGGTCCCCACCGGACACTGCCTGAACGGCCCTCCGTCCGGCCCTTCCGCCCCTGGTACCGCCTTGCAGTCCAGGGCAGAACCGCTGGCGCTGCTGAGGGTGCTCGAGAGTTCTGGACAGGCCTGGCACATCCCAGCTGATCCTGTACTGTCCTTGTAGGACCCGACAGGGCAAGGCTCGAAGGGACCCCCGTCTGGCCCGGTATAGCCGACGTCAGCCTTGCAGGAGAAGATGCCTTTGCTCTGAGGTAAACTGCACACATGTCACGTGAGTCACCAACTGCACTAGCTGACCTTGTTCCGCCTGCGGGACACTTGGTGCAGTTCCTGGCCGCCAGGCTCCATCGTGGGATCGTAGACCTCCTGCTGAATCGTGAGAAAGAGCTCGGGAAGCTGCTGGAGAGTGACTTACCCCATTCCTGTTCCAGGCTCATACTCTCCTGCTTTGCACCTTGGGTCCGGATGGACGTCATAGGTGGGTGAGGAGGAGACGTCGGAGTCGAGCATGTTCTCAGTGACGGAGAAAGCCTTGATCTGCATGTTCCCGATAACGGACAAGATGATTCCATCCTTATACGTCGACGACGATGTCGTTGGCTCCGATCCATCAAGAGTGTAGTAGATCGTGTCATAAGGTCCATCGCAGCCTATCGTCACGTTGTCGCCCTCAATGTACTTACCCCCTGGTAGATCGAAGCTAGGAGAGCAAGATTGGTGCTTGACGATGAAGTGAGCATCAACCTCTTTGCTCGTCGCCATGTGCGGCGCTGTGGCTATCGCCCGTACCAGATTCACATCTGGAAACAAATGCGCCAGAACGATCGGTGACGTGAAAACTGAGGACGTCGATGATGGCTCCGACCCGTCCGTCGTGTAGTAGATCGTCGACCCCTCTGACCCGCACGTGATTGTTACCAGCACCTTGTCCGTGTACGGCCCAGCGTTGTCCGGGCTGATCACCGGCTCCTCGACTTGCGGCTGTACGACGATGTCTCCCGACTTGACCTCGAAGCTGTCTCCCATGTCCGGGGACTTGATCGCTATCGCCCTCACCACGTAGTGCGCCTCCTTCCCGTCCGGCCCAAGCCCCAGCTCGATCCCCTGCTTGTACTCGGGCGAGGCCGCGTTCGGCGCCGTCCCGTCTAGCGTGTACCTGATCTCTGCCCCCGCCGTGCTCGTCTCGAGCTCTACCACCACCGAGTCCGTGAACACGCCCGCTGACGGCGAGATCGTCGGCTCATCCACCCGCTCCAGCACCACGTACTCTGCCTCTGCGACCATGGAGTCTGCCATGCCGTCCTTGCTCGCGATGGCCCGCACCGTCGTATGGCCAAGCTTGGAGATCGTGATGGGCTCGCTGTACAGCCGTGACGACTGCGTGGGCTCGCTCCCGTCGAGCGTGAAGTAGATGCTCTCCAGCGAGTTCTGGCCCGTGATGGACACGGTGACTGACGTGACGAAGGGCTCTGTCGCTGCAGGGTCGATCTGGGGTGCCGCTACCTGGCGGATGATGTCGTATGTTGACGACATCGCCATGGGGCTCGTCGACATGTCCGGAGCTACAGACACTGCCCGGATAGTTGTGTCGCCGTACTTCTTGACAAGGAACGGACCCTCGTACAGCAGCGACGACGTCGTGGGGCTCGACCCGTCCAGCGTGTAGTGAATGTCCGCCCCAGGCGTGTCGCAAGCGATGTGGATCTCTGCCATCTCCACGAAGTCGTCCGCTGACTCCGGCGCCCCCGCCCAGCGAGTGCCGTTGGCAGCGAAGGTCGGCTTTGCTGCGTCTATCTGAAAGCTCCCGCTCGTCGCCACGTCGCTCGGCGCCTTGTCTGCCGCCATCGCGATCGCCCGTACCTGTACTCCCGTCGTGCTTACCGTGATCGCTCCGGTGTAGAGAGCCGAGGCCTCCGTCGGGGAGCTCCCGTCAAGCGTGTAGTAGATCTTCGATCCCACTGTCGTCGAGTCCATCAGCACCTTCACCTCGTTGGTGAACTGCCCCCCGTCCGGCGCGAAGCTTGGCGGCGACGACTTGATCACCAGCGCCGAGTGCGACGTCAACACGTCGCTCGCGCTCAAGCCTTCCTTGACCGCGATCGCCTTGATAGTCGTCCCGGTCGCCTCCACCTGTATCGGGAGCACGCACACCGGGTCATCCTCCTTCGGGTCGCTCCCATCCGTCGTGCAACGGTACGTCGCCCCTACTGTAGACGAGCTGAGCCGCACAAGCGCCATCCCCGTGAAGGTGCCGCCGTCGGGAGACATGGTCGGGGGAGCAGCCTTGATCGTGTACCCCTCGCTTGACATCACAGGGCTGGGCTCGAGGCTCGGATGCAGCGCGACCGCGCGTATGACAAGGCCCGTCGTGCCGATGTTGATGGGCCCCTGGTAGGCCGGCGAGGCGCTAGAGGGCTCCGTCCCGTCCAATGTGTAGTGGATGGTTGACCCTGCCGTGGAGCACGCAAGCGCTACGCTCGTCGACCCGACGAACACTCCTCCGTCGGGCTTCACCGTCGGCTCCGACGCCTCCAAGCTGAAAGCGCTTGACGTGCTGACCTTGCTCTTTGCCATGTGCGGCGCTGTGGCGATGGCCTTCACCACCGTCCCCGTCGCTCGCACCATGATCCCTTCCCCCGCGTAGACCAGCGAGCTCGTGCTGGGATCTGACCCGTCCGTCGTGTAGTAGATCGTCGACCCCTCTGACCCGCACGTGATTGTTACCAGCACCTTGTCCGTGTACGGCCCAGCATTGTCCGGGCTGATCACTGGCTCCTCGACTTGCGGCTGTACGACGATGTCTCCCGACTTGACCTCGAAGCTGTCTCCCATGTCCGGGGACTTGATCGCTATCGCCCTCACCACGTAGTGCGCCTCCTTCCCGTCCGGCCCAAGCCCCAGCTCGATCCCCTGCTTGTACTCGGGCGAGGCCGCGTTCGGCGCCGTCCCGTCTAGCGTGTACCTGATCTCTGCCCCCGCCGTGCTCGTCTCGAGCTCTACCACCACCGAGTCCGTGAACACGCCCGCTGACGGCGAGATCGTCGGCTCATCCACCCGCTCCAGCACCACGTACTCTGCCTCTGCGACCATGGAGTCTGCCATGCCGTCCTTGCTCGCGATGGCCCGCACCGTCGTATGGCCAAGCTTGGAGATCGTGATGGGCTCGCTGTACAGCCGTGACGACTGCGTGGGCTCGCTCCCGTCGAGCGTGAAGTAGATGCTCTCCAGCGAGTTCTGGCCCGTGATGGACACGGTGACTGACGTGACGAAGGGCTCTGTCGCTGCAGGGTCGATCTGGGGTGCCGCTACCTGGCGGATGATGTCGTATGTTGACGACATCGCCATGGGGCTCGTCGACATGTCCGGAGCTACAGACACTGCCCGGATAGTTGTGTCGCCGTACTTCTTGACAAGGAACGGACCCTCGTACAGCAGCGACGACGTCGTGGGGCTCGACCCGTCCAGCGTGTAGTGAATGTCCGCCCCAGGCGTGTCGCAAGCGATGTGGATCTCTGCCATCTCCACGAAGTCGTCCGCTGACTCCGGCGCCCCCGCCCAGCGAGTGCCGTTGGCAAAGAAGGTCGGCTTTGCTGCGTCTATCTGAAAGCTCCCGCTCGTCGCCACGTCGCTCGGCGCCTTGTCTGCCGCCATCGCGATCGCCCGTACCTGTACTCCCGTCGTGCTGACCGTGATCGCTCCGGTGTAGAGAGCCGAGGCCTCCGTCGGGGAGCTCCCGTCAAGCGTGTAGTAGATCTTCGATCCCACTGTCGTCGAGTCCATCAGCACCTTCACCTCGTTGGTGAACTGCCCCCCGTCCGGCGCGAAGCTTGGCGGCGACGACTTGATCACCAGCGCCGAGTGCGACGTCACCACGTCGCTCGCGCTCAAGCCTTCCTTGACCGCGATCGCCTTGATAGTCGTCCCGGTCGCCTCCACCTGTATCGGGAGCACGCACACCGGGTCATCCTCCTTCGGGTCGCTCCCATCCGTCGTGCAACGGTACGTCGCCCCTACTGTAGACGAGCTGAGCCGCACAAGCGCCATCCCCGTGAAGGTGCCGCCGTCGGGAGACATGGTCGGGGGAGCAGCCTTGATCGTGTACCCCTCGCTTGACATCACAGGGCTGGGCTCGAGGCTCGGATGCAGCGCGACCGCGCGTATGACAAGGCCCGTCGTGCCGATGTTGATGGGCCCCTGGTAGGTCGGCGAGGCGCTAGAGGGCTCCGTCCCGTCCAATGTGTAGTGGATGGTTGACCCTGCCGTGGAGCACGCAAGCGCTACGCTCGTCGACCCGACGAACACTCCTCCGTCGGGCTTCACCGTCGGCTCCGACGCCTCCAAGCTGAAAGCGCTTGACGTGCTGACCTTGCTCTTTGCCATGTGCGGCGCTGTGGCGATGGCCTTCACCACCGTCCCCGTCGCTCGCACCATGATCCCTTCCCCCGCGTAGACCAGCGAGCTCGTGCTGGGATCTGACCCGTCCGTCGTGTAGTAGATCGTCGACCCCTCTGACCCGCACGTGATTGTTACCAGCACCTTGTCCGTGTACGGCCCAGCGTTGTCCGGGCTGATCACCGGCTCCTCGACTTGCGGCTGTACGACGATGTCTCCCGACTTGACCTCGAAGCTGTCTCCCATGTCCGGGGACTTGATCGCTATCGCCCTCACCACGTAGTGCGCCTCCTTCCCGTCCGGCCCAAGCCCCAGCTCGATCCCCTGCTTGTACTCGGGCGAGGCCGCGTTCGGCGCCGTCCCGTCTAGCGTGTACCTGATCTCTGCCCCCGCCGTGCTCGTCTCGAGCTCTACCACCACCGAGTCCGTGAACACGCCCGCTGACGGCGAGATCGTCGGCTCATCCACCCGCTCCAGCACCACGTACTCTGCCTCTGCGACCATGGAGTCTGCCATGCCGTCCTTGCTCGCGATGGCCCGCACCGTCGTATGGCCAAGCTTGGAGATCGTGATGGGCTCGCTGTACAGCCGTGACGACTGCGTGGGCTCGCTCCCGTCGAGCGTGAAGTAGATGCTCTCCAGCGAGTTCTGGCCCGTGATGGACACGGTGACTGACGTGACGAAGGGCTCTGTCGCTGCAGGGTCGATCTGGGGTGCCGCTACCTGGCGGATGATGTCGTAGGTTGACGACATCGCCATGGGGCTCGTCGACATGTCCGGAGCTACAGACACTGCCCGGATAGTTGTGTCGCCGTACTTCTTGACAAGGAACGGACCCTCGTACAGCAGCGACGACGTCGTCGGGCTCGACCCGTCCAGCGTGTAGTGAATGTCCGCCCCAGGCGTGTCGCAAGCGATGTGGATCTCTGCCATCTCCACGAAGTCGTCCGCTGACTCCGGCGCCCCCGCCCAGCGAGTGCCGTTGGCAGCGAAGGTCGGCTTTGCTGCGTCTATCTGAAAGCTCCCGCTCGTCGCCACGTCGCTCGGCGCCTTGTCTGCCGCCATCGCGATCGCCCGTACCTGTACTCCCGTCGTGCTGACCGTGATCGCTCCGGTGTAGAGAGCCGAGGCCTCCGTCGGGGAGCTCCCGTCAAGCGTGTAGTAGATCTTCGATCCCACCGTCGTCGAGTCCATCAGCACCTTCACCTCGTTGGTGAACTGCCCCCCGTCCGGCGCGAAGCTTGGCGGCGACGACTTGATCACCAGCGCCGAGTGCGACGTCACCACGTCGCTCGCGCTCAAGCCTTCCTTGACCGCGATCGCCTTGATAGTCGTCCCGGTCGCCTCCACCTGTATCGGGAGCACGCACACCGGGTCATCCTCCTTCGGGTCGCTCCCATCCGTCGTGCAACGGTACGTCGCCCCTACTGTAGACGAGCTGAGCCGCACAAGCGCCATCCCCGTGAAGGTGCCGCCGTCGGGAGACATGGTCGGGGGAGCAGCCTTGATCGTGTACCCCTCGCTTGACATCACAGGACTGGGCTCGAGGCTCGGATGCAGCGCGACCGCGCGTATGACAAGGCCCGTCGTGCCGATGTTGATGGGCCCCTGGTAGGTCGGCGAGGCGCTAGAGGGCTCCGTCCCGTCCAATGTGTAGTGGATGGTTGACCCTGCCGTGGAGCACGCAAGCGCTACGCTCGTCGACCCGACGAACACTCCTCCGTCGGGCTTCACCGTCGGCTCCGACGCCTCCAAGCTGAAAGCGCTTGACGTGCTGACCTTGCTCTTTGCCATGTGCGGCGCTGTGGCTATGGCCTTCACCACCGTCCCCGTCGCTCGCACCATGATCCCTTCCCCCGCGTAGACCAGCGAGCTCGTGCTGGGATCTGACCCGTCCGTCGTGTAGTAGATCGTCGACCCCTCTGACCCGCACGTGATTGTTACCAGCACCTTGTCCGTGTACGGCCCAGCATTGTCCGGGCTGATCACCGGCTCCTCGACTTGCGGCTGTACGACGATGTCTCCCGACTTGACCTCGAAGCTGTCTCCCATGTCCGGGGACTTGATCGCTATCGCCCTCACCACGTAGTGCGCCTCCTTCCCGTCCGGCCCAAGCCCCAGCTCGATCCCCTGCTTGTACTCGGGCGAGGCCGCGTTCGGCGCCGTCCCGTCTAGCGTGTACCTGATCTCTGCCCCCGCCGTGCTCGTCTCGAGCTCTACCACCACCGAGTCCGTGAACACGCCCGCTGACGGCGAGATCGTCGGCTCATCCACCCGCTCCAGCACCACGTACTCCGCCTCTGCGACCATGGAGTCTGCCATGCCGTCCTTGCTCGCGATGGCCCGCACCGTGGCTTGGCCTGCATCAGAGATTGTTATTGGTCCGTTGTATTGCAGAGCAGCTCGTGTTGGGTCTGATCCGTCGGTAGTGTAATAGATGGTTCCGGCAGGGCTCGACAATCTCATGGTGACTTCCACGCTACCGATGTATGGTCCGCTTGACGCTGGAAGGATCATGGGGGTTTCAGTTCGTGCAAGCACAACAAAATGTCTTGTGATTGGCTTTCCTGGACCATCCACAGTTGAGTCTGACTGGCAGATAACATTCCAATTTCCAGGCCCCAAAGTGATTGAAACTTTCGATTGAGGCTTGCCCTGTTCATTCAAGAAGGAATGTGGTGGAGAGCCATCGATGGAGCAGGCGACATGAGCATCTGAGTTGCTGCTAGGAGCAGTTGCATTGACTTGCACTGACTGCACGTATTGACCAGCTTCTGGAACCATGTTAGGGGGATCTGTCCCCTTGAGAAACTGGAACGCTCTTGCGCCGTAGCAGTGCTCCAACCCGCTGGTGATCTCACAGTTCATCCTGTACTTCTTGATACTCGCCTGACACGCTTGATTCGGGTTCTGAGCAGCCCAGCTGTCACCGCAAAATCGACCAACGTACGGTGACTTGGTGGCCCTTTTCCACTCTTGCCAAGTCCAGGGCATCGAGATGATGTTGAAGGCGGGCTTAGTGGCTCCAACATAATCGTATCCTCTCATAGTGCAGTCAGAATATTTTTCTACGGGCTCAACTAGCACAAACGTCACGATTGAAATCTCTTCATTTCCTGCTAGTCCCGCGCCCAAAGCTGACATACAAATGCTGGACTCGTCCAAATAGGGTCCTTTTCCACAACCGTAGATATGCCCGTCTGTAAGGCTGCAGTGTCTCGGGCAAGCCACAGTATATGTCTGACCGACGTTCCCATGAAACCTGTCAGCGTCTGCCTGTGTTGATGCGTAGAAACTGAACAGATCGGTTAGAGCCAGCGAAACAAACATGAGAATGCGTACCTTCCCCAGGCAACTGAGTCATGGCAGTGCAGCAGAGGTACACCAGCATACTGTTGCCCAATGCCCATTGCCAACTTTGACGCCTGAGCATCGATCTTACTCGCACTAGTGCTCGTGTACGGGTCTGAACGCACTATGACACCAACCAGGAGCAAGGCACATACAGATGCCACCCCTAGAACACGCCAGGACCATACGCGAGAGGTGAGAGAAGATAGGTGGAAGGTGTGGGAGGAGGTGGAGGCATCTGGGGGAACGCCATGCTCCTCCAGCTCCACGTATTCCTCCATTGCGCTCCGTCAGGACATAAATGTTCCACTAGTGTATTCCGCAAATAGAAACACATCAAATTTGATGGGACAGTAGTGGGGATGAGGGCTTTATCAGGCCCGACGCCTCTGAGGTTTCAGTCTCCTCCGAGCGAACCCTGACTTGCTTTCGTAACCTTGAGGTAAATTGAAATCTTACTGTTATATTTTTAAATTTTCGGGCAAGAAAAATCGGAAGGTGTTTGACCCAGTCAACGCCACTACTGGACCGCTCTCCTCTACTACGCTACAACATCTTCCCCCTGCCCCCGCTCCTTTCAGAGTCGATCTTGCCTACAGCTTCTCTCCCTGCCTTCCTCCCTTCCCTCCATGAGTCCCTTTCCTACCTGAGCACCTTCCTACTCTCCCTTGCTCTACCTCCTTCGACTCCCCGCACTCTCTTGCTACCCTGCCCTCCCTGCCTGCCTGTGGTTTCATCTGTTCGATCACTTCTTCCTGCTCTCGGATGGCAGGACGTGGATGACGACTTGGACTTTGCTTGTGGACTATTCTGACACTCCCACACTCTTCGGGCCCCTCTACCATGTTGAAGCAGCAGCGGAGTGTCAATACCCAGGACGAGGTGACATTCTTGGGAAGAGACCTGACTTTCTCATGCTTCAATATGCAGATCGTGTCTTTGCGCGCTTATTGCAGCAATCTTGAAAAAGATATCGCCAGGCAAGAGCCTTGCAGCGTCCTCATTTGGTGACGCTGCTCCTTCAGGTATAAGCATCTCGACAAGGAGTGCCAAGACCTCCACGAGTACTCACAGCTGCTGGAGGAGGAAGTGGAAGAGAGCAATCGTAAGATGCAGGAGCAGCAGCAGGTCATCAGGCAGCTGGAGTCAAGGCTGTCAGAGAACGAGCAGAGAGTGAACGAAGCTGAGTCCTTGCGAACTCGATTGTCTCAGGCTGATGCGGCAATATTGGAACGTGACAAGATCATTGCGAGGATGAGATCTGCGGCCAGTGTGGTTGACAAAGGTATCACCGAGATGCAGCTCAGATACGACGAAATTCTCGCGCGGATGGCTGACGAGATCGTAGCCAGTCAGGCATGAAGTTTCTTCGAATCCAGAGGAGGGAATAGCTGACATATATCTACAGACTGAGCTGCAAAGAATCCAGCAGAAACATGGATACAGGAGTGACTCGTTGGCAACGTCTCGAACGCGTTCCAACATCGAGAGGGGGGATCACGACGACGAGAGCTCGTCGACTGCGGATGTGATGACGTCACGGGACCTGCATGACAGCAACTGATGACTCTTGGTAGGAGTACTCTGAGAGTGAGTCCCTGTCATCGACCTCGAGCATGGAAGGAGCTGGCTCTTTGTTGGACGGGTTGAACGACTCAAGGTGCGCAAGATGTTCACTTAGAAGCTGCTGCTCAAATCAGATCACAGTGAAAAGATGGCTCGACGGGGACGTCGAGTGCTTCGTGCAAGGAGCTGCATTTTGACCTCGAATGCGGTTCACCTTCTGAGACTTTCTGTCGTGCAAGGCAGCTGGTTTGAGGTGAGGCAAAGTCATGTTGAATGGCTCAGTCTTCTGATTATACTTTGAAGGAGCCAGCGCCGTTGCGCAACATGCTCTTGAGGTGGGCCCTCTTCAATCCCCTCCTCTCTTTTTTCCTGTCCTCCCCGCTTTCTCGCCCTTTCTCACTCACTCCCTGGCCCATCCCTGCCCCTATCCCCATCTCCCTTTCCTTTTCGCTCTGCTTTCAAGTCACCTCCTCCTCTCTCTTGCTCAAAACTCCCTCCACCGCCCCTTCGTCGCCGCCCAGACTTGGATTGATTCATCTTGGTAGACTTGGCTTCAATCAGCTCAAGAAACGTTTGCATCGCAACTTGGACGAAGGGGAGAGCAGCGAAGGCTCCAGCCAACTGGGAGGGGACGAGTGACTTCGACGACGATGCGCGGTTGCCTTCACCTCAACGAGCTGCGGAGGAGAGAGTTAACAGCAGCAAGGGAGCATGGGGACCCAAGCTCCCTTGCTGCCTGGACACAGGGATATCGCGCTGAGCGCAAAGGAGGAAGGGTGGGTCAAAACCTTTCAGTGATAAACGACATCTCCGACTCTGACAGCGGCCTCCACTCCCCGATCTTGAGTCCCGACAGCGTGATCCCCATGACCTCTACTCGATGCAATTCCAGCACTTCGTACCCCAGCACCTCCAGCATCTTGCGGATCTGGCGGTTCCGCCCCTCGTGGAGGGTGATGCAGATCTCGTCGTCACTTACCCTTGTAATTTCGCACGGCAGCGTCCTGGCAGTGATTATCTTGCTCTTCCTGTCCCGTTGAGCCGTGGTGGTAATGACGACTCCTTCAGCAAGCTTGTGGATGTCCTCTTCTCTGATCGCTCTGTCTGCCCTCACCATGTACTTCTTGTCATGCTTGTGGTCGCTTCGAAGCACCAAGTTGGGTACCCGCCCGTCGGAGGTCAGGAGGATGAGACCAGTCGAGTCCTTGTCGAGTCGGCCGACCATGAAGATCCTCTCCGGATGTCCGACAGCGTCGACGATGTTTCCTCGCACCCGCGTGTCTGTAGTGCAGACAACGCCTCGTGGCTTCCAGTACTTGATGTACACGAACTGGTCCTGAGGAGCGACGGTCTCGTCGATGATGGATAACCCTTCCCATTGCACCAGCTTGCCATCCAGCCTCACAACGTTCCCCGGGAAGACTCGCTCTCCTGGAAAGGCCTTTCTCCCATCCACTGTCACCCTCCCGTCCTGGACGAACCTGTCGCTCTCCCTCCTTGATGCGAACTCTTTGAAGCATTTGTTGATCCTGATCCCCTCAGACGAGTCTGACGATTCTTCATCTTCCTCCGAGAACCGCTGCCTTGTGCTCTTCATTGGAGTTACGGACCAAGTCAACGAGCTCCTGCCCTCCTGTGTGGGGAAGGGGTGTCGCACAGTAACTGGCCTCCATAAACTTGTAGCGTAGCTTCGTTGCGGCAACAAAGAGATGGAGGGGGAAACATGGAATCCTTTCACAGACACTAACATAACCATCATCATCATCGTCTTCATCATCATCTTCGCTCTTGTCCTGTCCGTCTCTATCCTCTTCTTTCTCATCTCTGCATGCATCTTTGTGCCGACCTCCATTCCCCTGCATGTGATCGTCCACCCCCCCCTTTACCCTTTTATTTATAAGATACCCCTCTGATTTACATATAAAGGATAGGTACTTCAGTACCCCCCACCCCTCCATCTTGTTTGTGGTCGAATAGACGCAATGCCCTAGGCGGGCTAGTCGCACTCAGAGTTGTTGCGCTCGCAGCTCAGCCATGGCGTGGAGGTTCAACTCGCTCCTCCTCCTCCTCCTCAGCCTCGGGATGTTCCGCCTGGAGGCCTCGTGCCCTGAGCCGGCAATGACAGCAAGGGGGTGTCAGGCCAAGGACAGGAGGGGGAGGATAATGGAGAATCACGAGTTTGAGAGCTTCTACAAGCAGGGAATAGTGCCCGAGGGAGAGTTCAAGGACTTCATCGCATGCTTGAAGACTCTTCTTCCTGTTACCTTCAGGATCAGGTGGGGATGACAAGTTGCAAGTGTCCTCCCTGACTCCCCTCCCAGTCGGCCGTCCTCCCATTCCTTCGTGCAGCGGCAGATCGAGCAACTTGCCAGGGAGCTCGACCATTCCTGCAGCAATCGCTCGCAGGGGGGAGGAGGAGAGGAAGTGCCCTCTCTACGCTTTATCGACTGGTACCAGGGGCCAGGAGGAAGTGCATGGCAGCTCCCCGCGAGTGTGCGGGTGTCGTCGGAGAGTTCCGAAGCCTCCAAGCTCAAGCTGCAGCTGGACGTGTTGGCCTCGCTGGGGTTGATAGAGTACCAGGTGGAGGAGGAGGTTAAACTCCCTTTGATGAGCTCGCTGGCAGGAGGCCGTCAGCATGATCCCCGTACCGTTGCTGGCCATCAGACCTGCCGATGATGCAAGCAAATTTGCCGCAACCTTCCTCCTCACTCGCCCCTCAGGTGCTGGACTTGTGCGCGTCGCCGGGCTCGAAGACGCGACAGATCCTACATGCGATAGGAGAGGTGGAGGAGGCTGGTGGGTGTGAGGGAGGCTGACGAGGGAGGGAGAAGGGAGAAGGGATTGTAGTCGCCAACGACGTGAACGCAAAGCGATGCTCGACCATGATCCACCAGCTGCGAGCTTGCGGAGCGAGGAGCTGCATCGTGACCAACCATGACGCGCGACGTTTTCCTCCTCTCTTTATCGCAGGGGAGGAGGGAGGCAACCGTTCGCTGCGGCAGCTCAAGTTCGACCGGATCCTTTGTGACGTCCCTTGCTCCGGAGACGGGACGATGCGTAAGGTCAGAAAGAGAGGAAGGACACTTCTTGATGCCCTTCTCACCCTCCCCTCCCCCTGCTCTTACCCTCCCCTCCCCCTCCCCTCCCCCTGCTC